ATTATAAACTAAGATTATTATACTTAGTAGTTTGAACTTTTTTGAAAATAACACCCAAATGTCCCAAACTCGGAAAACATTAATTTGACAAATTATTTAATGGACTTTTATCAACTAACAAAATTCTTATCATTATTGATGTTTTGTAAACATTGCCCTGTTGGAATATGGCTACTTTTGCTTCACTATTAATACAGAGTCGGCTATCTAGTTGTTTTATATATCTGTGGGTACAACATGGACATTTTTACGTTGATAATAATTCGTTTTATCCAGTAATTTCTAAAATTAGAGTGAATTTACCTCTTACAAAAAGTAAAGGCAAAAATATTATCTGGAGCATCTCGAAAAATGTTATTGATTATTTTTTAATAAGTACCTAATGACCATTTTAAGCCGTTTAGTTTTTGTACATTTCAATACGATTACGATAATAACTTACTTAAAAATAATAATATCCATAAAATCTTCCGATATGCCCTGAATAATATTCCAGCATCTCACCTTTAAATTTTATAAGAGGTAAATTCAAACTGATTAAAAAAATTACATAGTAAAATTGATTAGTAGGAACGTACAATTTGTATATTTTTATGTTTGTACAATTTGTCAACGTTTTTAATACGTAGACAACAAATGCCCATGTGGCGCCCTCTTAATAGTTTTATACTGTTAAACATACAAGATCCACTTCACAATTTCACATGGGTCTTCAACAATGTTTCACACAATCACACGTGTTCAATCACATAATAGTTTTAAGAAAACTGCTGTGGTAATGTATTATGTTATGTTATGTAATGGTAATAGTGTAATACCACAAATACCTACCTTAGATAATTAATAATTAATAATWAATCGACAACGTCAACGACAAATATGGATGATGGATGACACAATTTGAAGCGATTTAATATAATATCGACAAAAACGAACTGGCGTTTTTCTCCTTTATTTAATGTGCGCAAACAATGCGCGGTTGCGGTACTAAATAGTGCTACACCATACTATAATACTACAGAATGTATAGAGTACTGAACTACTGACAAATGACAATAATGTTCGTAGTTCGAATGTTGACTGTGGTCTGCGTCAGTGTGTAGTGTGTACTGCGAGACCGCCTGACTCGGCATATTATGATAAAATACAGTTCGAAAACTGCAGAATGCAGATAATATATAGTTACCACAAACGACACGGTATCGGTTACGATCGTAAATTTTTAACGTAAATATTAGATATCGATATGCTAAAGAATTATTGATAATATGGGTAGCCTGGGTAGGAGTTTGACGTAGGTATTGCGCGGACTTGGACCAAAATCGGTTGGCGGTTACGATCATACCATAATTATTACCATAATGTTAATAAATTATAATATTATGATATACTTTAACGTCTTCAACAGCAGTCACTATAGCAAGGGACTAAGGGAGTAAGAGTAAGGGACTACTACTAAGCTAAACATGTTTAGCTTCACTAAACATTTTACATTTTTGCCTAACTTTTAACTTTACTGCAAACAGTAAAATATGAGGGTTCACTATTGAACATGGTTGATTGTACAATATTTTAAAATTGTTGGTGTTGTTGTTCTGTAATTATGTTGCATGTCTGCAACACAAGTACACAACACTGTATAATGTAGGAACTATAAGTAATAAATAATAATATAAGAAGTATGAATGTGAATATAAAGAATGTCGCACGACGCAATATATAGCTTATATACTCGTCAACTACAACTGACGACGGCTGCTTATCGGCTTTTCGCGGTTCAGTCTCTGATTTATAATAGAAGTTATGAATAAGAATAACATTTATGACTTATGTACTATGTCTTATTACAACAATATGAATGTATCTAATTCATACCTAATAATATTATTTGATAAATTATAATACCAACTAGGTACCAAGTAGAATAATAAAACTGTATTTATTTTAATTAAACAATATTATAATCATAATTTTATTTTTTTAGAATTAACGCCAGTCGGCTTTTTACTTAAGAGGACGCTACACCCGCATGTGTCGTCTCCGTCTTACAAGTGCGTAACATTGCAAGCGTAACATTGCAAAAACTGTTTCGGGCGGGAAAGAACCAAGAAAGATACAGTTATAATTATAACTAAGAAACGAAATTTTCACCACATAAAAAGGAGAATTTTGTCTGTGCAATATCGTTTTTATTTTTTTGATATCACTTATACAAAAAAAATTCTTATTGTTTTATAATATATTAATTTTGTGTTTTTTTAAGCAGGAATAGCTTTTTTTGTAGTTCTGATATCGAAAAAATAAAAACGATATTGCACAGACGAAGTTTTCCTTTTTATGTGGTGATCATTTCGTTTCTTAGTTATAACTGTAGCTTTCTCGGTTCTTTCCCGCGCGAAACAGTTATTGCAATGGGACGCACTTGTAAGACGGAGACAACACATGCGGATGTAGCGTCCTCTTAAGAGGACACAATATACTTCTCTCCGTCATCAACGCGGGAGAGCTCAAACGCTCTGAGGAGTGTCGACCTGGCTATGACCGCTAGGCTGCAAACGCATCTGGGCCCCCCCGCCGTATTTGTGTCGAGGGGCCCCAATATTACTAAAATTATAATATTTTACTGCTTGCAGCATTTTTTTATCATTTTATGATATAACATTTTTGGGGGCCTTTCTGAAGAAATGCATCCGAGGCTTACGTTCCTGGTCGACACTGGCTCTGAGTGAACCGGACGGATGTTGCTAGCTTAGCTACATTA